TTTGTCAAGATTCCTAGTTATTCTACTTTGGCTATATCAGGCCTGAATAAGAACAAGCCAGTTTCGAGACCTACTTTTTCAAAATATATTATTATTATTATTATCAATTCTTAGGTTCCTCTGGTAAGTATGTACAGTTTACGTCCAGTCTCTTAGGTTAGTGATTCAATACATACTGCATAAATGTAATGAAGTGAGGCTAAAGTAATTTTATTATGCTACTATTGTTATGCATATTCAGCTTTGCCCTTTGACCTTTTAACTCTTATGGGCCGTGTCTTCAGCCTACGGACTCGGAGACAGGACAATCTTCGGCCATATTAGACCAGACAGATTTATTTGTTGATATAACTCACCATTTGTTCTAAACTTCATATTCCTTTGTTGTGTATCAGAAAATATTCACTATGAAATATATACTCGGCTTCTTACTGACCTATAGAATACCAGAACTTTGTATTAGGGAAAAGAAAAGAAGAGTCACGTAATGTATTGTATGTAAGACGAAAGCTACAGGCGAAAATCTCTCGACGTGGGAAAAACACAGACTACGATGACGTGTCCTGTTGGTGACAGTCAGAAGCATTATACCACAGAGTAACGACAATTCACCTTTCGGGTGATGGAAGAAAATTATCCAGTAGGATTAATTGATAACAATTTCAAAATATTGAGAAATAGGGTGAAAGAAAGCCATCACGCTTTTCTTGATCATGCCTTCTCTAAGAGAATCTAAAGATGCCCTCTGCAGATCAGGTTGTTATAAGGTTTTGTGCTCATTTGGTAGTGTTTATGTGAAGAGAGACTTGTCGATCCATACATAAGAGGGTATTAGAGCACAAAACCGCCTCCAAATTTTATGGATTCAGCAATCAGAGGCGGCTGAACATGCGGTCACTACAGAACGCCAGATAGATTGGCCCAAATTCTAACGCTTTGTCAGATATGGGGACTTTACGGCCAAGCGGAAGATCGGAGTCGATTGAAATTAACAAAATACAGAACATCCTGAGTAAGAGGAATGAATGTAGGAAATTAAGTAACAACTATTATCTGGCTGCTGACTAAAATCAGAGGGAGAGAGATAAAGAAGAAAAGGGAACCAACTCGTGAGTGTTGTATACACACACGAACACGCATCCACGAAGCTCTAGCAAGACCCAGAATTACAGGATCATACGCTAATTTATTTGCATAGGCAAAAGTTGTGACCATGCATGTAGGACAAGCATAAAACAGCCAACCAAATCATGGAGTGTCTCATTAAGATCGCGATTTAAGTTATAAGAACTAAGTAGGATCTAAACTGGCCACTTTCTTGTTGATTGTTTGTTAATAATGGCTTCTGGCTCTGACGATGTCCGTCACATGACAGACGAAAGCTCAGCACTGAGTCATCGGGATCGTAGGACGGTTAACCGAAGCCTACTTCACATAATTCAACAGATAAAAGACCAAGGCAACCCTCCGTTATCCGGTGAGGCCAATCTAAGAATCCCTTTCACCCACCTCAAACGAAGTGAAAGATATATCAGTATAAATGAAATAATTGCCATTTCTCACGTTCTCGGTGTAAAATTGTTCTGTTTATGATTTATCAATAATACACTCACACTTGGTTGAAATTACTATTTTTACCCTTCACTACAAGAGCTAGTTAGGCAAGAAAAATCCCCTCCTTAAACTTTACTTGTATCTTCGACTGTTATCCATATATTTTCTCATTTTCCTATCCTATCTTTTCGTTATGAGTACATTAAGTTAAACCTCAATGTTTTCCTCATGCTAAGAAAGTTTGTTTTCCTCATCCTAATTTTTCTTACCTTGCTCTTACAAACATACACTTTTATATCTATATGATCCTTTCTAGTCAACCATGACTGCAATGGCTTTCGAGAATCTAACTAAACCTGACAGCCGACAAAGCATAATGTTCATTAGTGGGCCCGGTGAATTCGCAGGTCTTCTTGGTCTTATCACTGGGGAGCCAAATATTTATTCGCTACAAGCGGTCGGCGAAACTTTGGTCGCGGTCATGCCGAGGGAGCATTTTTATGCCTTGGTGCGTGGCTACCCAGGTGCTCTTTTTAGCATCAGCCATCTGATGACAGAGCGAATGTCGCCCTTTCTTCGGCAAGTCGATTTCGCCCTCGAATGGCTCACTGTCAAAGCTGGCAGAGCCTTATATAAGTAAGAAGAATCTATTTTAAATGTTGTTTGAATGAATTTCGAGCTAATTCCACTTTGAAACTTTCTAGAGGCTATATAGAACATGTTAAGCAAGCATATTTTAATTTTGAATTTTAACTTAGAATATATTATGAAATCAGCAAAGTATTCAATAGCACCTTAACAGCTCTATAAATTTTCTCCTTAATTTAGGCTAATTCTTAACTTTTGGTCTAAATGATGCTATGATATGAGTCCAATTTAGTTTGTCTGATTCTATTAGGTTTTATTCTCTCCACTGAACTCATAAATAACTATATCAATTATCGGGTTGATTGTGTGTAACTCTTCCCCTTATTATTTATAAAATCTCTTCGTTTTGAGGCCGTTGACTAATTAACCCATAATGAACACTTGCTAAGGACTATCTCGTCCTACCCATCCTCAAATATATATAATGCGTTAAATTATTCTCATCGTATTTTTTGCAGACGTGGCGAGGCATCTGATAATGTATATGTAGTACTCAACGGCCGTCTTAGACAGATTAATTTTCTTTCAAATGGAGAACGACGGATCGTTGGTGAGCTCGGCCGAGGTGATCTAGTTGGATTTCTCGAGGTCTTTAGCGCTCAGCCGCGTGCGCACACTGTCATTGCTATTCGGTGAGCAAATCAAGAACTTTACCTTATTGATAAGTTGTTTGACTTTGTTTTTCAATTTAATCGTATTGTCAGGAGGACTGAGAGGAATGCACTTTGTCCCGAGTCCATAGTATGCATGATAATTTACAGTCGGACCGTGGACTCGCTACACTCCCAGACATTTCGCAGGCATCGTATTCGACATCGTCAGTGTACTGCTAACCAAATATCATTCGTCTCCGCCGCGTCTCTTGCTTTTTTCTCCATAATGCCAAGCTTATGACTTTACTACGCCATAGTCTCTTATATGCTAACCACTATATGTGATCGTTTTACTTGATTTGAATAAGCTCACTGTAGACGTTTCTTCTTGGTGTCCAATTGTTTCTCTGTGGTCTCCTTGCGATTTCTTTTCCTCAAATTAAAAATATGTTTTTGACCTAGTCGTCTTCTTTTTGCTGATCTTGTTCCGAGCATGCTCAAGCAATATGCAAAGTTTTATTTATTTGAGATATTTAGTCACGTTGATCTTGCCTAATTAGCATTTTTGAGGCTCAGCTTATCCAACACTTTTTTGAAATTGTATTTCTATTGTCCCGATACCCAGTATTTACCCAGTAGTGACCTATCCCTGCACTTTTCCCATTCACTGCTTAGTTTTGTTATATCTAATACTTAGCCATGGCTCAGCATACTTAGTCACATGGCTCACGTGTGTACATGACTAATCTTCTCTTTTTGATTTTGCGTCGACCAATCAAAGCTTGGCACCGCATCGTCCAATGAGAAGTTGACATGGAAAACTACGCGAGGGTATGTCAAAATTGCTAGCATCTTTTTTAGGTTGGTCACGTCTGCTTCCTCTCTCTCCTGTCCCCTGTGATCCACGGAGTTCAAACCTTTCTTTTTTGTGCCGCTTTTCAATGATTGTCTTTCTATTGACAGGCTTCCCATATTTTATTAAGCCGTTTCTAAATATTACACTTGATAATACTGTTTTCCCTTTTCTCTCTTTGTTTCGGGACTCCAACTTTGGAGTTGTAGAGCGCAAGCGTTTTATATTTTAGAGAACGTTCGTATCCTCTTCGGAACACTAAGACTTTATCTATCCTAATCTGTCTTCTGCTACTAAAACTTATCTTCTCATTTTAAGTTTTGTAATTCAACGCAATTGCTTCAACCCGTGTGTAAAGTAATCACTTTCGTTTTGTTGTTTACCATATTGCCAAATTAATCTTATTTTGTTCTATTCTAGATTTAAATGTATTCATTCTAAACCTACATCTGGTTTTTGTTTGCCTCATTTTTTTGGATACATTTTTCGCATCTCTTACAATAAGCAGCATAACTATGCATCTATCCTTCGTAATGCCATTGACCTCGTTCTCCTAATCACATTTTATGTAAAACCTAGATAGGATAGGGCGACTGTTCAATGTTTATGGTATTTTTCCGGGCTCTAAATGTTGTCTTTTCATACAGTGGTTTTTAGTTTATCCTAACGCAGAGTATGCGTAGTATAATGGTAGAATAGGCCGAGAAATAAACGCCCTATTGGCCATTAGATTATCATACAGTCGATAATTTTATGGTGAGTTATTTTTGAAACTCCGCCTGATTCTTGTTATTGACACCAATTAATTTGGATTTTTGCGTTTAATTTTGAATTTAATATGATTTTAACAAATATCTCTATCCTTTATTATATTAGAGATTCTGAAGTGGCTCAAATTCCGGGTCTTCTGCTAACTTGGATCAAGGGCCAAGTTCCCCAAGTTGTGACCCTTTTGATTCAACTTCTTTCAAACAAGCTGTTAGGCAGCATCAGCAGTCGCTTCGATACTAGCACAAGCACAGGAATTGGTGCACTGTCTGGCGGTGGTGCTGGCTTTGCTGGTATTTTTTCCAGTGAAATGCTTGGTCGACCTCTGGTTAATATTGCCGGCTTTGGTAGCCCCTTTCAATCAGCTCCTGTCCCGCTGGCAGCCACCGCTGATTCTTCGCATATCGGAGCTTCGAACGCCTTGACTGCCACCACTACGGCAGCCTCAGTACAGCATGCTACTGTTGTACATGGTGCCTTGGCCAACTTAAAGGCAATAGCCATCCTGCCAGCTAACGCTGAGGTGGATGCTGAGGCCTTCTCGCTTGAACTCCAGCACGCACTGTCGCCGATAGGATCAACAGTACGTCTAACTTCAGGTAGGTCACATTCCTCTTCTATTCACTTTTATTCTCCTACGTCTATGCACACACACACACACACTTCGGCTGGACAGAAAACAGGCTCGTCCTGACTTCGTCTTAACAGTTATGCTCTTCTCAAATGAGAACATATTTGATATCTCATCGTTTTATGTTCTCAAAAGCCTATCAGTGTATCTGACTAATAAGCGGGAGCAAAGTCAACTTGATATTACATAATGGCTTCGACCATACATAAGACTATAGCACCTTGGTCATAACATTGCAAATCAATAATCTCCTGAAACTTAATCTATCTTAACCCATAAACTCCAATGTTTAATGAGCGCTAGGTTGTATCCAAGCGCTCAGTTTATTCTTCAGACTCGACACTGATTTCTTAAGCTATATAATTCACACTACCAAGTGATCGTTTCAGTTATGAGCGAAGTCATATTGTGTGAATTTACAGGAAAAGCGTGTCTGAGAGTCTGAGAGAAAAAGAAGGAGAAAGAGTTCGCAACCCCAATTGTTAATTTAGACGTATAACCTCACGTCATGTTCCCGTTTCCATTTAAATACGTAGTTATTTAAAGAGAAGCTGGGTTTAAAAGGTCTGAAGGTAAGTGATTTACAACAAATAGGACTTTTATAAGTGAAGATGCTACTATCGCGACTGAGAAGCCCCCGTTCGGAGCATAGATAGGAACTTGAGTGTTTCACTTTTGGCGACTGGGTCACAAGGTCAGAACGAGAGAAACCAGGTAGATGTAGGCTTGAAAACTAGGGAAGTACAAACGAGGCCATCAGGAGTGCGAGAAATAAAGTAAGGAAGGCGACCACGAGTTCTTCTTTGTTACCAAGCCGTAATGAGGGATCTCTGAGTTATAGCCAGAATGTTGGTCGTGACTGCAGGAGTATCAGCTCTGAAGATTGGATGCTCATAACTTACTGGACCTGGGGTAAGAAGAGAGGAGCATAAGCGCAGTTGCAAGCAGGGGTTATAATGGTGTAGATAAGTGTCATCAAGTGTAGAAGCCAGATCTTAGTGCTTTTTCAGACACTATGAATGGACAAGAGCTGGAAGGGCTTGAAGTTGGTATCATTTCAATCGTGATCTAGACTAAAATGTCGGCTACTCAAGTAACCTTACGTGCAAAAATCCATAATTAGTCGAATCATGAAATGCGCTGAAGTGATGGCCATCTTAAGTTTTTTCGTTATTCAAGGCCGCTACTATAAATCTCAGTCGATAGCCTAAATTTTGGACTGTGACTGAGTTATTGTCTAGAAGTTGGTGACTTGTGGACGAATGGTGGACGTGATGATGATCTTAGCCAAAATTACTTCCTACCCTGGCTTAAAAACACTCATAAAAAACGGCAAAATAACTGTGCTGTTGATCAATACTTTGCTACATTCAAGACTCAACGATCATTTTCAACATGCCATGCTCCATTCAATGATTTCCGCATTTTTATATTTAATTGCTAGGCTGGGCTCTAACCAGTGGCGGTAAAAGTAAGTCCAATTTTATGGTATACAATCTATTTGTTGTTTATACGTTGGACTCGAGATTACTTTTGAGATAAAAATGTCACGATGAATCTCCTAAGATAACATTGTTGGAGAGGCTTTCATTTTGTATGAAAGTGCATGAAGAAGGGATTCGTAGGTCAATCTCACCAGAAGAGGACAGATGAATCTCGTTGTACTTCAGCTGTTTAGCTTTTATACCATGTTCAGGTTGACGCAGTCCACGAGACTGCCCTCGTTTCGGATGAAAATAGGCTAAGATTTCTTCCATTATATGATGGACATTATCAGAGCTGGGTCTCATTCCTGTTAAAGTCTCACGTTGACACTAGGGCAAGAATACTATCCGGCTCTATCATTCCTCTTATATAGACTCAATTTAGAAAAATAAAATTAAAAACCTAGATAGATATAGAATGGTTTGGCTAATTATTTTTTATATTGGTCCTGCTACTTTTGCTCAAGTGTGCGTGCGTGTGTTAACGTCTATACGCAATGCCGGTCCGAAACCAGAGTGATCAAATCGGTTAATGTCAAGCTCTCGTCATCAAGGCTTACTGACCCAAGAGAAAGCCCTGACCCAGACTGTGTATGTCCTATTTTGAGACCATTTTATCTCATATCCAGTCTGCCATGCGTTTAAGCACTTCTGACTTTTCGACCTAACTTCCTCTACAAATATTTTTCTGTTTCCCTAATCTCTGTTGTATGGGATGGCATACCTTATCAACATAAAGTCGACCACAGGAGCTCACAATCTTGTTGCATCCGGATCTCGATTATGGGTCATAATTCCCTCTAGAAGATCGCATAACAGAAGAAAGTGTGAGGGCTTCTTTTAACATTGTTTTTATCCCTCACTTTCTTACCAATTCGCCTTTTTTTAAAGAAGGAATGACGGCAAAACTAGAACATAAAAAAAGGTCTCATTGTATATATTTCGTATTTTAAGTAGAGCTTCGAGACTACCAGTTAATCAGTAGTGTGAGATGTATTCACTATTTCGTTTGAGGTGATGAAGAATTGGTAGTAGAATTTTGCCACAATGATATGAGTAGAGCTGACGTTTTCATTGAATTTCACATAGGCTTGCTTTCCCAGAAGTAGTTATCATCCACGGTGGACTGCAGTTTCGACCTCGCACGGTATTATCAACACCCCCAGCGGGAGTCGAACCGTGACAGTGCAGAATGGGAGCTTGACACGCTAACCACTCGGCCACATTGCCACGAGTGCCCTTGGCTTACAGGGCAGATGTGAATTTTAAGTAAGGCTATGTAAAATCAATGGGAGCGTCGCCTCTACTCATATCATTGTGTGAAAATTCTACTACCAGTCCTTCATCACCTTAAACGAAATAGGGTGAATATATCTTTTATATATTTTAGTAAATGGTCTCCGTCTAAAAATTTTATTCCACATTGGACTGTGTCAGCCTGAACGTATAGCCAAACGGCTGCAGAACAACGGGATTCAACCATCCTCTTCTGGTGGGATCGACCTACGAATCTCTTCTTCATGCACTTTCATACGAAATGGAAGTTCCTCCAATAAAAATATTAGCCTATATTTGTAATACAAAGTTAAAATTTGATTGAAGATGTGAAGACCAAGATGTTGTGGCCTCGGGTATGGTCGCAGTCTCCTTTCGACTTATAGAA